GCAGTACTGGTCGCTGAGCAGATGACGAAGCCCCAGACGTACCTGACGAAGGACGAGGGATCGACCCTCCTCGTCCACGGGCAGAGGAAAATGTGGTGGCTTTGCGATAATAAACTAAATAAAATATTGGTGGTGGTGGTAGTTATAAACTTGTAAACACGTTTTTCCCTTATTTATTTATTGTATGGAGGTTGATTCGGAACTGATCAGGGAAGAAAAATCAGAAAACAAGTTGATGAATTTTTGGATTAATCTGGCTGCCTGCTTATAATTTAGGACCTTCAAAAATAGCAAATAAGTCAAGTTCCAACTAAATTTGAAAAATTCAAGATTTCCAACAAATCTTCTAATTCCTTCTTCTCAATTCCATATTGTTTAGTTTCAGCTTCCAAAACTGTTACACACCTGATTAATTGAGGAACTGGTTAAAATATTAAATCATATTGTTTTACATTGATGAAACCTCTTACATGTTCATATATTTATCTATTTTTAAAGATAGTGGCTGAAGATTCATACAGAAAATATTTTGCAGCAGAAAAATTGGCACTGACCTGATAGTTTGCAGAATTCAATTTTAGATGGAGCATTTTAAGAAAAGAAATTCTTGCCAATCTAATTACTATAGCTAAAAGTCTGAATTTTTTTGCTTAGATTTATTAAAATAGTTTATCAGTTAAGTTTCTTCTTTCCTAAATTGATCTATTGAACTTCATTTAATTAATTGAAATATTATCAAGTTTGAAAATCAAAACCCATAAAAATAATCAGCTCTTGAATAATTCATAAATAAATAAAAGGAAAACCAAAAGCTCACATTATCCAATTTTCATGTTACCAGCTAAAAACAAAAAAAAATAAACATAGTACTAACTATAATTAATAATAATAATAATATTATATATCTATATATATTATATCTATATCATAACAATATATATATATATTATATTTAGGTTAAATTGGAAAAATAACACAAAAAAGAAATCGCAAAAAAAAAAAAAAAAAAAAAAACATTTTTCGAAAAAATAAAATGCAAACCGGCTTACCTCAAATGGTGGTCCATATCTCGCCGAACGGCGTAGAGGAGTGATCTACGTCTTGGTGGCGGCGTCACAGGGGCTGGAAGCGTTCTCAGGAGGGGCTGGAGCGGCGCTTTGTAGCGTGAGGAGAGTGAGAGAGGAAGGAGAAGAGAGAAGGAAGAAGAAAAGAAAAAAAGAAGAGGGCGCGTTTAAAGCCCTAAAATTTGCGACCGACATATCGGTCGCAAACGTAATTTAAATCGGTCGCAATTTTTTAATTGTCCGACGCCGTTTTACTACGCGAGCATTTTGCGATCGATTGGCGACTGAAATAGTCGGTCGCAAACAATCGGTCGCACTTTTATCTCATTTCGGTCCCAGAATTTATCCATTTTTTTACGCGGACATTTTTTGCGACAGAAACACAGTTAGTCGCAAAGCGGTCGCCAAATCGGTCGCAAAGGAGTAGTAATTCAGTCGCAAACAGAGAGGCAAACTCGCGCGAATTTTCCGCGCTAAATTTTGCGACTGATTGGCAAACAGTCGCAAATCGGTCGCAATATTGCGACCGATTATTGCGACCGATTTTGGTCGTCGCAAAAAGCGGTTCGCAATTTGGCGTTTTTTTCTGGGTCGCAATTTGGCGTTTTTTTTGTAGTGCAAACGAACCCTTATAAATGATCTTTAATTGCGAATATAAATTCTCTTGAAATTATGTAATCAACATAAATTCTCTTGATTACTTTTGATTCCAATAATATTAGCCGAGTAAGCTTCTTCTTTAAATATAAGTTGTTTTAAATATTTTAAGTAGTAATGAATGGTATTTTTCCATGCCACCTTTATTTAAATTAAATATAATAACTATTTTCACAAGTTATCTTTGGTTTTGAGATAATGATCTGTTTAGCGAAATTAAATATTTTAGCTGTTTTAGTAGAATTCAACTGTTTTAGTAACTTTTCATAAAATGTTAAAAGTTAAATTTTACAGGGTTAACATTTTATAAAACGCTACCGTAACCTTTAAAAACTAATTCAAACATTATATTATTAAATATTATAAAAGAATACCATCTAATATTTTGACTAGTCAAAACGCTAAAAGGTACTTAAAATACTGTTGTCAAACATATCTAAAATATAATTTAGTCAAATTATCCTTTGTTTTTTATAATTTGAATAGAAAATTAAATACTTTCTTAACCCACATAAAATCGTCAAAAGATTTATACTTTAATTATAAAATTTTACGGTGTGCGTGAATCGATGTGACTTGCGCAAAAGAAAACAAAACAAAGAAGTTGCTATTTTTCTATAAAATGTGTTTGCCTTTTTTTAGGGGAAAACATTCAAAATACGTAGCCCAATATAAGCATGAACACGGTTCCTCCACCAGTTTTGATTTCAAAAAATATGAAATCAAAAAAAGAATTACTTTTAGACGTTTTAAAAATATCAATTTTAGTTCGTTGTCGATTTGAAATCGAATTTAGATAATCTTTTTTAACCTTTTTAGTTTTTTAGCTAAATAAGAAAATTAATAACAAATAATAGTATTAAATTAAAAAAAGATTAAAAGATTAAAAGATTAAATTAATAGTTTTCAAATTTATGCAAAAATTATAACCACACCGAAACATAAATTTAAAATTCTCCTCTCGTATTTAATTTCTATAAATTTAAATTGAAAGACAGGTAAAAAAATGATTTGTCCTTATTTTATAATAGGAGAAAAGAAATGATATGAGAAATTCAATGGAGTTTAGAGAAAAAGAATTGATATTGTGATAAAAAAGGAAGATTATTAAAGTATTTATAGTTAACATATAAATTTTTATTTATAAAAATACCCTTCAAATTTTTCGTTTCTACTGTTATAAAGGATAAAAATGTCTTTTAATTTTATTTAACAATTAACAAAAAATACCATAATATGATATTTTTGTTCCAAAATATGCACTTAAAGTAGCATTTTTTTTACCAGTTATAAAGGGGCAAGACGTCTTCTATTTAAATTAAGAATTAAAAAAAATTACAACATAAGTTTTTATTACAAAAAATACCTTTCAAATTGCCTTTTTTTTTTACTGTTATAAGGAAGAAATTTATTTTTATTTTATTTAAGAGTCAAAGATAAATTTTAAATAAATATTATTTAATTTATATGTAAAAAATATATATTATAAAGGGTAAAAGATTTAAATTAAAAATATTTAAATGAGGGGCAATTTTTTTCTCTTTTTCAACTTATAATATAAGTTATAATTTATATTAATAAATTTTGAGCATTTATAAGTTATATTTATATTAATAAATTTTGAGATGATAGTAAAGTTGCTGCATTTAGCGATGAAAAATAAAATTAATTTAACAATTAAAAATTACATGTGAAATGTGATATTTTCTTTTCTTTTAACAGTTTTAAACCAAAACCGCCGGTTTTAAACTAAAATCACTAGGTTTAATTTTCAAATATAAAGAACCGCAACCGAATCTTAAACTATCAGTTTCGATTACGGTTTGAAACCTTGAACTACAGTTTGATTCCAGTTTTGATTGATTTGATTCCGATTCGAAATCGAACCGTGGTCATGCCTAGCCCACTAGTCGTGGCCAGATTAATATTTGTTTATTCTGAATAGATCACGAAAAGATAAATCACTTCCTATTAAATTTTGAAACGCTTCATACTTACTACTCGAACTCGAGGAGAATGTTTATTATCTCATCTCACCCTTTAATCGTAAAACTGTTTTTGTCTTATTTTTTTCGTATTATCTCCGTTTTATAATACTTGTCATATTTGAGAAAATAGCTTGTTTCGAAATACTTATTACATTTGTGCTTTTTAATAAATATATATTTTTTTATATTTATCCTTTATATGTAACCAATAACCATTACTTCGATTTAATAGTTTTCTTAAAAAATTAATATTAGATTAATGGTAATATAGTTAAATTACTCAATAATTTATTATAATTTAAATAAATTTAATAATTTTTTTAAAAGATGTGAAATTTTAAATGTAATTAATATCATAGAATACAAATAGTATATAAAAGTACCGGGGAAGATATTTCTTTTTGGGAAATAAAATTTGAGAAGTTGGCAACACCCGGTAAAGAAAAGAACAAAAGAAAAAATGAAGTTAAAATTTTTGGTCCTCTTCTTTCCTATCTTTGGAATTGAGATGCACGTCGACGCGTCACTTATTAGTGTTTCTATTAGCAGAATAAAATAAAAATATGTCACTTTAATTATTCTCAACTACACATGTATATATCTACTTTAGAAACGGGTTATTTCTTTTTTTTTTTTAAAGGATAATTGTCTGGGTAAAAACAAATTCATGAAAGATTTTTTAAAAGAAAAATGACTATTTTGGAATTGATTGGCCGAAAAAAAAAGGAATAAAGAAAAACAGTTTGTTCTATCCATACATGCAATATAGGCAACTAAAGTTATAAATAATTCGAATCAAATTCGAATTTGTCAGTTTTGAAATTCGATTCGATAGAATTTAACTTGCTTAAAAATTAATAAGCCTGAAAGTTTAGATTTCAGCAAGATGAAAACTAGACTTAAGATTTGAGTTTAACTCGATAAATTTTAAATTCGAGTTGTACTCGAAATTCTACTATTTTAAAAAAATATTATATATATATATTCAATAAAACTTGACGAGATTTCAGACTAACCATTATTAAATTTGAGCTGAGCTTGTTTGCTAAATGAACAGCCCGAATTTGAGTTTTTTTGAACTCTTTTTCAGCTGATACCGGCCTGTTTACGTGCCCAACTGAACAAGTCTAATAATTTTATTATTTTAGGATTATCTCTTTTTTTTTAAATATATTATTTTTTTAGTGAGCGGTCGTATATGCATCTAGTATCTAGATGTTTGTAAAATAATATTATTCTAACACGTCTAACAAATAGCAGAGTACCGTAGCTCAGCCTATAAATAGCAGCTTCAGCATTGAGCTTCGACATCTCATTACACACAACAAATTTCTTTCTTTTAGTTTCCAAACACCAAACATTAAGATGGCCGTTACTGTCTTTGAACGCAAGATTGCTTCTGCAATCCCTGCAGCCAAGATGTTTAAGGGTCTCGTTGTCGATGACGACAATCTTGTTGCTAAAGTCTTTCCAGGGGTCGTTAAGAGCATGGAGACTGTTCAAGGAAATGGAGGGATTGGAACTATTAAGAAGACTACACTCCACGAAGGTAATCATTTTATTAAGGAATTAGGTGTTAATTTATTAGTTCTTGAGTTGTAATTAACCAGAGTTCTTTGTTTTAATGCATGCAGGTAGCGAATTGAAGTGGTACAAACATAAAGTAGACAAATATGATCCACAGAACTATGTATACGAATACAGTATATACGAAGGAGAACCATGGATTGATGGAGTAGAGAAAATCACATTAGGAATAGAAATAGAGGGTTCAGGTGATGGAGGATCTGTTGTCCATGTTAGTTTCAAAACCTATCCAAAGGGTAATTATGCTGCGCTCCTTCAAGGACGCATTGACTCTGACAAACAAAAGATCGCAGGAATGGTTCAGGCTGTTGAACAGTACCTGTTGGCAAATGCTAATGCCTACTAATTCCATGTAATTTCCAAATTTGAAGCATGTGGGCTATGGTTGTATCTTATGCTTTTTCTGTTTCTTTTTTTTTTTTTTTTTTTTTTTTTTCTTTTCAACTTTCCTTGATTCAGGACCAAATATAGTTATCTTAATTTTGGGTCTGATAATAAAGCTTGGATGTCGTTTTAAATTGGGTGCAGAAGTTGCAACCATCTATGTAATCAGATGTTCAATCAATATTTCCTTTGAGAACTATGGTATGGAAGCTTCGTTTTCCTTTTCACCAACTGTTTCGATTTTCCAAATTCAAAGTAAAGGGTTTTTTTTTTTTTTTTTTTGGGTACAAATACAGAGACTAAAAAGAAACTATCTAGAATAAAACCTAAATAAGATGCATCGGCTAAATCATGATCAAGGCCAAAAAGAAAGGAGGAGACTCATAGATCCCAATTCCCAAAGGCAAAAAGGCCGCAAAAACTTGGACAACCAATCAGCACCAGTTATTAGCTTCCCGAAAAATACAAGAGGGAAACTTGGGACCCAAATTGCACCATAAGATTTTTTATATGGAAAACCAATGATCCGAAACCAACCAGAGGGCTAAGAAAACTATTCACCAACTGCATCACCATTAAATTATCACATTGAACAATAAGGTTAGAGTGGTTTGAACTCAAAGCAATTTGCAAACCGGTGAAGAGAGCCCGAAGCTCAGCTCCCAAAACTGTAGTACATCCAATATTAATTGTAAAACCAGCAATCCAAGCTCCATAACTTTCACGGATTAGGCCTCCACCAAAAGCATTTCCATTAACGATGGGTAAGAAACCATCCGTATTATAAGTTATGAAATTTGAGGATTGGTCAAAAAACTTCTATATGGATTTGCTTTCTTTTCATATAACCACTCTATTTGTGAAGCAAATCCCAGAATATACAATTCCAGATGATTTTCTAGTTGGTCAAAGTAAGTGGGGATTTTCACATGGTTAAATATAGTGAAATGTGATAGTGAAACGGTTGTTCACATGGTTAAAGATAACGTTCAAGCTGCTAGAGGAAACAAACAACTTGTTGTCAGCAAGAAAGGATAAGAGGAAAATATGGAATTAGATTTCCCATCATTTTCCCAAATCAGTACACGTAATTAGGGAATAACTATAGGAGGAAAATAATCATCTTTTATTTCTTACCTTCTATAAACATGTACCCTAGCTATATTAACGGTGTAAAGCAACAGAATAATCAATCAATATATGATTCATTCAAAATATGCCTCAAATTATATTATTTAACATGGTATCAGAGCAGGTTCAGTGATCCTAGGATCAAACAATTTCAATTGCTCATCATCTACCAACTTACCTACAGAAATCCAGTCACCATGTCTGATGACGGCAACTCCTCGTCAGCCACCAGTGTGCCGACCCAGAAGACTCGGGCCACCATGTCCGAAGACGGCAACTTGGAGAAACAGTCTAGCATCAACAACGACGACCTGACAATTCAATTAGCAAACCTTATCAGAAATGGCCTCAGCAACCAAAACCAAAAACAAACCCTTTCAGATAATTTAATCATCAGTGTTAAATTGAATAGCCAGAATTATGCGTTATGGGCATGCATGATTAAAGTTGCAATTGGAGGAAAGTCCAAGGCCTTTAATTTAATCATCAGTGTTAAATTGAATAGCCAGAATTATGCGTTATGGGCATGCATGATTAAAGTTGCAATTGGAGGAAAGTCCAAGGCCTTGTTAAGCCACCTTACTAGAATTCCAGTGCCACCGTAGATCGGCGACGAGAAATACGAAAAATGGGAACAAGATGACCTCATTGTGTTCTCATGCCTAATCCAGAATATTGAACCCCGATTAGCAAACAATCTTACCGAGTTTCCCACTGCAAGAGCACTATGGAATGCCCTTGTTACAACATATAGCAGTGGCAGGGACAAGTTACAAACCTTTGATCTTCATTCAAAGGCAAACGGGATAAAACAGAATGGAGCTCCTTTAGAAGATTTCTGGATTACCATGCAAGGAGTATAGGGCGAGATTGACAGGCGGGAGCCAAATCCAATGACGTCAGAAGCAGATATCGCCACATGTAACATCATACGCTAAGAACAAAAATTGTTGAAGTTCCTGAATGCAATTAATCATGAATATAATCAAATAAAAAGGGAAATTTTAAGACAGGAACCGTTACCCTCACCGAAAGCTGCCTACGCCACTGTTCGGAAAGAGGCAACCCATCTCAACATTCTAGGACCAGCCTCTAGCGTCTCGTCACAACAGGGCATAGGAAACGGCTTGGTCGCAACAGGGACTGAAGCCTAGGAATGGCAGCATGGGGACAGCGACGGTCAGGCTCCATCAGCAAGCCAGGCGGTTCATCATTCCGCTCAGACAAGGCGAAACTCAAGTGTACCTACTGTGGGATGAGCAAACACACAAAAGAAAATTGCTTCGAATTGTGGGATATCTCGATTGGTGGAATGATGGACATAAAAGGGACGGTCAAGCCACAAGAGGAAGAGCCGCCATCGCCGTGAGCAACCCTGAGGCTACCAGCAGCGACGGTGGTGGCCAAGCAAGCGTCGGTGAAGGAGGCAGCGTGGGAAAGGCTATAGCGGCTAGGGTTGAAGAAAGTGGTAATATGGGTTATAAGGATGAAGGAGTTGGAAATTTTCTCCTAAGTCCTTTTAATTTGGCCCAATTAATTTCTGTCCTAAAATTATTACAAATTGATCCAAAAACTATGTCTATTGCAAATATGGTCCGGAATTGTGATAAAAGTAAGAATGCATCATGGATTTTTTATTGTGCAGCCACTGACACCATGACATTCGATGCCAACGATATTAAAAAACAATCCAAACCCATGAAAACACATGTCGGAGCAGCTAATGGGGAAATAGTTCCTGTAGAGGGGGCTGGGTCTATTGACATATCACCCACACTAAAGAACTTAATTGTACCATGCTAATGACACCCACTTTCTGTATACTGTAGGACATCAGGACAGGAACGATTATTGGACGTGGCACTAAGCACCAAGGACTGTACTACATGGATGAAGTTGCCCAACACGGTACTGTGATGCTAGCATATGGAACTGTGGATCGGGAAGCTTGGCTTTGGCACCAGAGATTAGGACATCCATCCACGGGTTATTCACATCTTTTATTTCCTAAACTCTTTAAATCTAATAAAATTTTGCAGTGTGAGACTTGTGTTTTGGCAAAGAGCCATAGACAAACTTTCAGGCCAAATAATACTAGGGTAGATTTACCTTTTTCATTAGCCCATTTTGATGTGTGGGGTCCAGCACCTGTAAATAATACTAGGGTAGATTTACCTTTTTCATTAGCCCATTTTGATGTGTGGGGTCCAGCACCTGTCATGGGAGGAAAAGGTTTTCGTTATTTCTTGATATTTGTGGATGATTGTACTCGCATGACGTGGGTATATTTTCTGAAAAACAAGTCAGAGGTTGTTGATAAATTTATCTTATTTTATACCATGATCCAAACCCAATTTACTAAGACAATTCAAATTTTAAGATCTGACAACGGGGGGAATTTGTCAACACTGCCATGAAACATTTTTTCCAACAAAAAGGATTAGTACATCAAACTACTTGTCCTCATACTCCTGAACAAAATGGTGTTGCCGAACGAAAAAATCGGACTCTCCTTGAAATGACTCGAGCTCTTCTGATTGAGTCTTGGGTCCCTAAAAGTTTTTGGCCTGAAGCTGTAGCTACTGCCACCTATATTCTAAACAGACTCCCAACCAAAATCCTTGACCTTCAAATTCCACTTCAAACCTTGGCCCAATTTACCAAAGTTCCTCCGACCTTAACCCTTCAACCACGCATTTTTGGTTGTTCTGTCTTTGTTCACATTCCAAAAAGTGAACGTTCTAAATTTGACCCATGTACCGAAAAATGTGTATTTGTTGGGTACAGGGTTAATCAAAAAGGGTACCGATGCTATAATCCTAAAACCAGCCGTATGTTCACCATAATGAATTGTGATTTCCTTGAAACCGAATATTTTTATATCACCCAGCTCAGTGGTCAGGGGGAGAAGGAATACATGGACACACTGAGCTGGCTTCCAGAATCAGTAGCCTCACAGGTAGATTTGGATCCACAGGAAGAGAACCCACAAGTTACAGAACAGGAAGAAAATAGAGAACAGGAAAGAAACAGTATCGTTAGGCCAACTTCAGATACTTCCATATAGTCTACGGAGCCTAGTGTCTTAGAAAATACTATTCTTAACTTGATGTCTGAGGTAAGAGAACCCGAAACCTCCGAGTCTCCTGTTGTTTCTACTAATTCCAGTGACTGTGAGACTGTAGCAGAACAAGAAGAACAATATGTAGTACCACCCAGAAGCAATAGGGTAGTTCCACCTAACAGATACTCTCCAGAAAAAGAATCTCGGAGGTCTAGATACCCAGTAGCAAATATAGCCAGGGGGAGTTTATCCAGAGAAGCCAAGGCATTTTATCTCCGCTCTGTGTGAAGAAAAAGTCCCGACCACAGTAGAACATGCCTTGACATCAGAAAAATGGACCAATGCAATGAAAGAAGAAATGAATGCTTTGATCCAGAACCACACATGGGAAAAATGTGCTTTACCGACAGGAACGAAACCAGTTAGGTGTCGATGGGTCTTCATAATAAAGCATAAGCCAGATGGTCCTATTAAAAGGTACAAGGCGCGGTTAGTAGCAAAAGGATATACTCAGACTTATGGCATTGATTACTCAGAGGCTTTTTCACCAGTAGCAAAAATTGACACTATCAGGGTGTTGTTCTCAATAGCAGCAAACAAGGGATGGCCACTTCATCAGTTTGATATGAAGAATGCTTTTTTGCATGGGGACATGAAAGAAGAGGTTTATATGGAAGCTCCACCAGGTTTCACAGAGGAATTCCAGAAAGGGGAGGTGTGTCAGTTGAAAAAATCATTGTATGGGTTAAAGCAGTCACCTAGAGCCTGGTTTGGTAGATTTACACAGGCAATGAAGGGATATGGGTTCAAACAGAGCAATTCTGATCACACTTTGTTCCTAAAGCGGAGAGGTAAACTTGTAACCTGCTTGATCATTTATGTTGACGACATGATCATTATAGGAGATGATATGGAAGAATGACGACATGATCATTCATAGGAGATGATATTAGGAAGAAATGACAAGTTTAAGGGAAAAAAACTTATTCACAGATTTGGAACATGAAAGACTTCGCGAAGACTAAGTATTTTCTTGGAATTGAGTTTTGAGTCAAAAAGGTGGATTTTATATGTCATTAAGAATTACATTTAGATCTGTTGGCAGGAACGTGACGCGGAATGTCGGATTGTTTAAACCGGGCTGACACACAATGTGGTAACATCATGGGCTTGCAAGATAGTAGAAGGCAGCAGAGTGCTAGCAAATAAGGAGAAGTATCAAAGGCTTGGTGTTGCGGAAATGATATATCTCTCACTATACTCGTCCAAGATATAGATTTTTGCAGGTCGGAGAAGTTGTAAGCCAGTTTAATGCAATCAACCTCAGACAGACCCATATGGATGTTATTATGGAGGATCTTGTAGGTATCTTAAAAGGGGAATCTGGAATGGTGTTCGAATTCAAGAAGCGCTATGGAACCTAGAAATAAGGGGAATATACTGACGACTGAATTGGGCAGGCAATCCAGTGGACCGTAAGGTTCACTCAGGATATTTTTACTTTTATGGGTAGGTAACTTAGGTCACATGGAGGGAGCAAAAAAAGCAAAAAGCATGGAGGAGCAAAAAGCAAAAAGTTGTAGTTCTATCCAGTGTAGAGGCTGAATTTCAAGGAGTGGCACGAGGCTTGACTGAAATATTATGGTTGCGAAAATTGTTAACTGAAATTGGGATCCCACCTTCTGAGGCTTGCAAGATAATATGTGATAACCAGGCAGCGATCAGTATTTCAGAAAATCTGGTATAGCATGATCGGACAAAACACGTGGAGGTTGACAGGCACTTCATAAAAGAGAAGTTAGATGCAGGTAGTGTAGAGCTAACCTTCGTAAGCTCTAAAGATCAACTGGCAGATATATTAACAAAGGCAGTGAACGGAAGAATCTTTGGTGAAGTTTTGGGCAAGTTGAGCATTGGCAATCCCACTACTCAACTTGAGGGGGAGTGTCAGCAAGAAAGGAAATAAGAGAAAGGAAATAAGAGGAAAATATGGGATTAGATTTCCCATCATTTTCTCAAATCAGTACACATAATTAGGGAATAACTATAGGAGGAAAATAATCATCTTTTATTTCTTATCTTCTATAAACATATACCCTAGCTATATTAACAGTGTAAAGCAACAGAATAATCAATCAATATACGATTCATTCAAAATATGCCTCAAATTATATTGTTTAACACTTGTAACTTCCATTAATTAATTGCATTCTAGAATTATATTAGATTTGTTCTATCACCCATATTCATAGAGAAGCAAATTTCGATGCAGATTTCTTCACAAAGGTGGCAAGTTCCTATCCTTTGGGTACCCATACTAATCAAGTTCCTCCTCCTAAGATTAATTTCTAGTTGGTTAATTCATGATATGAGTGGTGTTTCCTACTCTAAAGCTTGTACGTGTTTGTATATAAAGTTGAGATTATTCCAGCTCAATAGCAATAATATCTCTGATTCTTATTTCCTCAATAAAAGTAAACTGATTATAAAGCATGCAAGAAGAGGAGGTTGAGACAATAGATCAAGGGCCAAGGTGACTTCTTGAAGGATGTGATGGCCGAAAATCTCTTTGAGGTAGCAGGGATCCACGATTCCATTATGTCACCAAATATAATGAAAATAAATTGAACAAAGTATCAAATATCAAATATTTTTAATACAATCTATAAATTATATTATATTTTTTACCGTTATTTAATATATTTATTTGTCAATAAATATAATAGCAAAACTATCATATATATTATCATTAATTAAATCTTGATATTAACAAAATTAACATATCAGCCTGTAAAACTCTATTTAATCAAATATTTAATTAATTTTAATAACAATTTAATATAAATCATTTAATTTTTATGAATATTTTAATAAGAGTAGATTAAAATATCTTAATTTATATGCCAATTAAATCAGGACATAAATTATGGAATGGATAAAATATACATTTTCTTCTGCTACTCATTCTTGTTTATATTGTGGAGATAAAAATATGCAATGGTTTGCGTTTTAATAATATTTTTTTATTAATTGTAGTTCATTGAATATCAATATTTATTTTACGTACGGGTTATAACTCAGTTGTCAATGCAGACTAGACACGTGAGAAGAACTCTTGGATTCAATCCTTGCTAAACATACCTATAAGGAGGAGCGACGATCCTTAACTATGACTAAGCCTTGAGCCGAATTAAGCCGTTCCTGGTAATGAAGTCGCGATACCGGAGGTTTACACAAAAGAAAATATCAATATTTATTTTTTCAAAAGTAATATGTTTTATGTTAATATTTACTTACCTACTTTTTATTTTATTTTTAATTATTTTTTATTTTTTCTTATGTTAAAAAAATTCAAGCTTTAAATGATTGAAATTTATTTTTGAAATTAAAATCAAAATATTAATTTTTAATATATGATTTTATATATTTCTTAACATGTCATTTTTTTAATTTTATTTCTTAGCATCTACATATATCATTTTAATCATAATCTTAATTTTTCCAGTTTAAATTCAGGAAATGATTTTATAATATTTATTTTTATTTTAATAATTTTCATAGAATACTACTCTAATATGATTAAATTTTATACATATTTATTTTTATAAGCTAAACTTTTTTTCCTAACATACTTTTACCATTTTTTCTAATTTGTTCCCTCTTTTCTTATTGTTCTCTTATTGAAGTTTTTATTTTGTCACAATTTTAAATAAATTTGCATACTTTAACTATACTTTAGTCTTTAATATTTAATTAAAAATCTAATCGCTATCATGAATAACAATGTCTAAGATATCATAATCGAGAATTGAATAGTATAGTATAGAAAGATTGTTTACCTATGCCAAATTCAAAAATGAATTCTTGATTAAATTTAGTTTATTTTATTATCAGTTATAAAAATTCTTGTTTTCTTTACACCACCATGTGACAAAATATTATATAACCGCCTTTACACACCCTTATAGTTAGATGAATATTATAAAATATCAAGTCCCTGATATAAGCTACAGCTATGGATGATGCAAAAGATAATAATTTTTCAACAAGAGTTTGATGACTATATATTTGCTCACTTACTCCTTAAAATTAATTTAATAAAACAAGTCATTTATTGCTTAGTCATATCAAGCCCTTTATTATACACAACAGTATAAGTATGGTGCAATTCAAGCACCTATCCAACATTCATACCATCGATCCAAGCTTTTTTCCGCCATGTATATATGTATGTATATATGGTCTAAAGCCGGATGTAATAGCTACTGGAAATTATGGAGTTAATAGGCATTAGGATTCGCCAACAGGGATTGCTCCAAAGTCTTGAACATTCCTATGATCTTGTCTACCTCAGCCTTAATGTGAGCATCAGAGATAGTAGCACTTCCCTTTGGATAGAATTTCATAACACCGTTGAAAACAGATCCTCCATCACCTGAAGGCTCTATTTTCACTTCCAGAGAAACTTTTTCTATTGTGTCAATCCATGGTTCTCCTTCCAGTGTCGTTATTTGGTATACATAGTTTTGATGGTCAATCGCGTCGATTCTGTTCTTCGCATAGTTAAGTCCACTGCCTGCATAGATTAAGAAAAATTATTAGTTAATTATAAATCAAGAACCTGATAGTTATAAACTTAATTAGTCTTTTTTAAGTAATGATAACCTTGTGCATATGTAATCTTTTTAACAGTTCCAGGCCCCCCGCTTCCTTGAACAGTCTCAATATTCTGAAAGACATTTGGAACAGTTGTAGGAAGAACAGCTTGGCCATCGGTAACAATCGCCTTGAACAACTTGGCTGCGGGAATTGGGGTAGAAAGCTTGCGTTCAACCACAGAAACACCCATCTTCTTGTTAGTGGTAATTTGGAAACGAAAAGGTTTAAGAAAGAAATTTGTTGTGTGAAATGAGATGTGGAAGCTCAAGGCTGAAGCTGCTATTTATAGGCTCAGCTCTGTGACAGTGCTACTAGTTTATGTGTCAAAGTAATAGTAGGGAAACTAACATAATGAGTCCCCAAGCTATACTCAAATTAACAATAAGAACCTTTATTTTTTAAAAATTAACTATGAAAACCTCTAGCTCATTATTTTAATATTAAAGAAAATAATATTATTTTTTTAAAAATAATACATAAAGATTTTTATTTTCAAAAAGTATTAATGAGGTATAATATTATAATTTTATTAACACTTTGATTCTTCCGTCGAACGGAACAATAAAAATATTAACGTTGATTATAAAAAATAATAAAAAAATGTGAAGAATAATTGTAAATTAGAATCTTATTATTGGTTAGGCTATATTTTAGAAATTAATTTTTTAATTAGTCACCAGATAAAGAGGATATTTTGGATAAAAAATCAGAAATAGAATCACAAGTTAAAAAATACATATTTAATTTCTGAAAATAAAACTTTTTATGGGTGGATTTGATTATATTTGAATAATTTTATTATTTTTTTATAATATTATAATATACACATATCTAGATACAAAATAGGTGGCATAGAAGAATGTGCCATCTCCCTTCCGAAGATAAGAAAGGAAGGGATGAAAAATTTTCCGTCGGCCTTTTTTTTATTCTATTTTATTTCCCGGTGAAGATGCTCAGCTGGTCTGTTCGCAACTTCTCGAATCTCTGTTACTTTCTTTAATTTTTTTTCTCTTTTCTTTTCAATTAAAATTTATTCTGACAAGTACCTATTGTCTTTTATAAATGTCAATTCCTATAAGGAAATTTAAGTTTGATATTTTATATTATGTGGACATTTCAATTTAAATACAGTCAAAAAATCTATTAGTCTTTGAGATTCCACATCAGCTGTTATGCAAACTAAAACGCATTTATAAAATTATTATAATTTTACAAAAAAAAGTTATATCACTAAAACGCATTTATTATTTAACCAATAAAAAAGGTAAGATACTTATATTCTTTCATTTTCTTATTATTATTTAGTATTATTTCTCAAAAAATATATATTCTTTTAAAAAAATCGGCCTAATTGGACAATTAGGCTTGCAAATCGTCTGATTGTAAGTAACATGGAAGGAAAAAAGTGCATGGGACGGTACATGCATGCAAAATTAAGAGTAAAATATATTTTAATTTCTAAATTATATCATAATTTTTTTCTCTCTTTTTGACAAATTACCATTTTATGCCGTTTTTTATTTTGCTTAAATTTACTGTCCGGCTAGTATGTTTAAGTGTCGGCGCTTTAACTTTTGATGAAATATAATTTTCCACAAAATATTTATTTTTTGCACGAGAAATTTTTGTAACGAGTTTAAATAATGCTTTCTCCATTCCATTTTATTTGCATAGTTTAGTAAAATACATATATTAATAATTTAGTCGATAAAAATTATTTTGTCCTTTTTTATCCTTAACTTATTAAAATATTAATAAAAAGTATTTATTTAATGAATAATAGTAAAAGTTATCATAGAAAAATAATTATTTATATTTCTAAATTTAGAAACCTTACAAACATATTAAGACATCCAAAAAAATAAATAATAATCGAATAAAGTGGGATGAAAGAAGAATTAGAGAAGATATAGTAATTTCTCGAAATAAAGGGAGGAAAATATAATTAAAAAAATATTTAGAGATAAAGAGTATTTTGTTTTATTTATTTATTTATTTTTTAATACAGAGGAGGAATCGATCCCTTATAAATGACCCTAGACGAAATGACTCCAACACAATCAGCATCCAAAAACTCCTTAGCTCTTGACGAAGGCTCCAAATCCGAAGGCATGGATAACGCTCCTTTAGCTAAGGAATCACATGCACATTGACATACAGTTCTTAGGGTACCATGTGACTTTATTTGTCTAGAGCATCTGCATGAAGTTACAGGCAGATGAGCCTTTATTTGTGTTTGCAAAGGCCAAACTTTATAACTTTTCCTTAAATGATAGTGACACTTGACTAATTTCTTTTTATTCCATCTTAACATCCTTTATTATACAAAGCTAAATTCATCTTTTCATAATTAATTAATAGTTAAAAAACATTAATATTTATTTTAAATGAAAGGATTAATCTTGCTTGTAAGTCATGATACATTAAATCAATACAAATTTGAGTTGTGTAACATGATAAATTCAATTAAAATCAATCAATCATAAAATTGTACAATTTTGATTTTTATTCTGATCTGAGATTTATCTCTAAATCGCGAACCAAATCACTCAAAATCAACTTTTTGTTTTCTATCATTTTTTATTGCTTTAGATAATTACAATTGTAGTCAGAATTGTTATAATTATTGTTGGGGTGATTGTTATTCATTGAGATGATCTTTGACAATTGTGGTTATTATTACCGGAAAAGATGTGGTGAACCTAAAATCTCCGCAAGGAGCTAAAGTTGATAATTCCCTAACTATTGGTGATTTGAATATTGATTTGATTTATATTTTGTTTTTGCTTTATTATTGCTTTTGAGAGACATGTGAATATTCTAGAATTCTTATCAAAACGCTAGATAATGCTCCTTCTTTTCATTTGATTTTATTTATTACTTTTATGGATAGATATTGTTGATCTTACTTATAATATTTGTTCATACATTTTACATGCTCATACATAATATATAATTGTTATATAAAACTGTTTTCATATAAAATTTTATTTTGTTTTTTACCCAATTGATTTATTGCTTCAAACCGAATATCTAATTCCCACGACCTTTTTGGTTTCAAGCTCTAGTGCACTTTTTATATTGGATAACTATTTTTAAAGTCAAATTGAGATTCTTTTTTAGCTTAAGTTTTTCCTCGATAATTAAACAAAAAAATGACGAATTGTTTCTAAAAGTAAAATCAAATTTAAATAGTCATCTCCAGTGTAATTTAATCCAAATAAACATTTCAATTTCTTTAAATTAAAATGATGCTAGAACATAATATATTTTTGAAGTGGAAAAATTCATATAACTCATGGTATGTTATATGTATTTTTGAGTATTGAAGAAAGGGATTTAAACTTGAATCTATTGTCAGATGGTAATACACCTACCACTAGGATATATTTTAGTATATCGATTACGTTATACGTATTCACAAATTCACTCGTATAAATGAATTTGATATTTAAACTGAATTTCCTGTTGATATCTTACCATCAAAATAAGGGTAGCAATTCTCCTCCTATACGCCTACATTCCTCTATTATTTTGAATAGGGTAGAACTATAGCACAGATTTAAAAATTTCTATACTGATATAAAATTATTATTCACCATTAAATTTAAAATAATTAAACATAAACCATTAAATTTAAAATTGACTGAATGACTTGTTACCTATAGGATAGTGAAACGACCCGAAAATTTAATTTCGTAGAATTTTCATTTAAAAACTAAATTTTTTTATTTCAACCAATGAAATTATACCAGCTAGTGTTTTATTATTGCTAAACTGGACCCGTAAACCAATTCAATTTTTCTAAAACCAAGCGAAAAACTAGAAAACCAAGCAAATTGAGCCAAATCATAGAATTAGACCAAATCGGTTCGAATCGAACCGGAATGGTCTAGAGCCGAAATCAATCATGAATTAGACCAAATCGGTTCGAATCGAACCGGGAATGGTAACTAGCAAAGCTTTAGAATCTCTTTTCTTTTCTTTTTCTATTTTTTTTTTTTTTTTTTCTTTTATCTTTTCTTCTTCTTCCAGCGCGAACCCTCCCTCCCTTCCCTCCTCTCGTTTTTCCGACCGCCTGAGACCAGCGCTCCTCGCCCGTCGCTCCTCGCCGCAGCATTCCGGCCATTCTTTCTCTCCTCATTGTTGTTTCTGGCGAACGCATTACACAGGAGCTCATCGGGAAGTAGCGCTCGCATTCACTCGACCGGCGACTCCAGTCTCTCTCTGTCGACGAAGAAGCTTCGATCTCTCTTCTTCACTCTCTCCTTCCCGTTCTGGCTGGCGCAGCGAACCGAGAAGCTGCGATCACAGCTCGTAGTAGGTAAAGTCGCATCCAAAACCTTGGTGAGCTCTATATGATCCCTTTTCCTTCAATTATTTAACTTATTCAATAGTTTATTTGAGGAAAGGGTTGGTAGAATCATGAATGAGAAATGCTAGGTTCCTGAAACACTATTCACACGACTAAAAGTTGGGAAAATCTGATTTTTGACTATTAATTGACACTATAACTGCATTAACTGCATTTTTCAGAAATGCTGTAAGTTAGGGTGTTTATGTAATCCTATGAAGAAATTAGAATGATTGTGATATGTTAGCACCAACCTAGCTGTTGCTCAAATTCTCTGCTTTGATTATGCAGCAATTGAACATGATAAATTAGTTTTGTTGGTAAATGAGTCAACTAGTGTTTATAATATGGATTGATCGAGAAACCTTGATTTTCTTAGGTTTGCAGCAGCCATTTTAGTTTAATGTCTTGAACTAAATATGTGATAATGAAGCAAATGAAATTGTAAATTGAGTCAGTTGTAAATTGAGTTCTTGATTGGAAATGGGTTAACCATCGTATAATGTGTAAGTTTAACCAAACACTTAAGGTTTCTTTGATAAAGTGGCAGCCCTTAACTAGCGGAAATCACGGATTTTTGCTTGAACCATGTTTATGTTGATGGAACGAATGTGCCCTTCATAATTTGTTATAAGTGTAAAGGTACTAATGACAAAGTTTAATGAGTACTGAGAAATTTCTGGTAAAAAGCAGCAACTATCTTCACTTATTTCTATTGATTTTTGTTTGACATGCTACAATTAAGGTTGTAAATCAAATTCTTGGGTGGAATTAGTTAGTTGGTGTGATCCATGATTTTAAGATAGAAAAACTCTAATTCTTTTTGCGAATTGACAGTAATTACCTTGAATTTTTTTTGTATTGTCTTAGAAGGATAAATATATGTAAATGAGCATACTTTCAAGATTCCATGATGATTTGAT